TTAAAATATACAAGAATGAAATTTTTTAAATAATTTATTAATATGTTTTAGTATAATTTTACCTTGAAGATGTTTTTATATGTTCCCATTATATTTAAATGATTTGTTTTTATTATGTATTTTAATAGTAGATTATATATTTAATGTTATCTTATGTTAACTTAACTTGTAAATTTTTTACTATATGTATCTGATTTTATTGAAGAAAAATATGAATATTCATTAGGATTGTACTAAATAAATATTAAAATGATTGAAATACTTACTATAGTAAACTAGAAGTTTATTAATAATTTTAATGTTTGACATGACTGGTTGGACCATTTTTGATCAATAATAATATGAAAAATTATTGAAACTTCATGTGGTCATCCATTGAAAAATCAAAAGATTTTTCAATCTAATGAATTCTAATGCCCTGCTTACTGTTAAGGCAAATTAGTTACAAGGCCATCAGCAGCTAAAGTTAGAACTGAATCCATTATATTTTTGAAATGTATTTAGGGTGACATATGTGGACCCATACATCCACCATGAGAATCATTTAGATATTTTATGATTTTAATCGATGCATCGACCGTATGGTCATATGTGTACTTATTATTAACTTTCAATTTGGCATTTGTAAGATTACTCGCCTAAATCATTTGTTTGCGAGCACATTTCCTGATTATACAATCAAGATTAGTAATCTTGATAATGCTAGTGAATTTACATCACAAGTAACTGGTTATGGATTACAACCAAGGTAACCAATTGTAATTCAGGCTTAATTTAGGTTGAACCTGAGATTCAGGACAATGATTAATGAGTTATTTGTGATTTTTGTCATTTTGATTACATTCTGGATTTGCTCTGTGTTTGATAGGTTAATTGTAAATATATTGATGCTGAATCATGGAAAAATTGAACACCTACTACTTATGTGCTTATTGATTTCTATTAAGGGAATTTTTGTTTATGGGTAACATGAGTTAGAAATGTATAGATCGTGTCCTCCCCTATTTTTGTTTTAGATCTGTACAAGGGAAGTAAAGACTTTTTTATATTGGAAAGGTTGGTCATGCTGACCCCTTTTGTTTTGTAGAGGTAGCAAAATAGTTGGTCATTTTTATATTTGTACCAGTACCATATATAATGAAATACATATAATTTTTTTTAAAAAAACCTATTGAATAGCCTATTACTTATGTTCATATCTAAAATGGTCTAGCAAAATCGTTTATTAAACATTTTCAACTAATTGCAAGGTCATTACTTATAAAAACTAAACTCCCCATTTTTGCTTGGAAACATGCTATTTTGCATGTAGCAGCACTTGTACGTAATATGCCAACGAGTTATCATAAACTCTCTCCTATGCAATTGGTTTATGGTAAAAAACTAAATATTTTTCATTTAATAATTTTTGGATGGCCAATAGATGTTTCAATTGCTTTACCACAATACACAAAAATGGGTCTTCAAAAGAAGTTAGGAATATGTGTTGGATACAAATATTCATATATAACTAAATATTTAGAACCATTAATAGAAGATTTATTCATGGTAAAGTTTGTCGATTATCATTTTAATGAAACAGTTTTTCCAACATTAATTAGAAAGAGAAAATAAGCAGCTAAGAAAAAAAGTTCACAGAAAACATTATCATTTTCTAGTATTGATCCTCTTACGAATTAATATGAACTCGAAATTTAAAAAATAATTCATTTGAAAAATATAACAAATCTGTTGCCAAATATATTTACTAACATAAAGAGAATAACTAAATATCATATATCAGCTATAAATACTCTTATTAGAATTGATGTTCTTGTAGGACAAGGTATGTTAGAAGTGTGGGAAGCCAATCAGTTCCAAAGATAAAATCTTTGAAAAAGAAAAGGAAGAAATATACGAGATGGTAAAAAAAGGGAAATAGAAACACCAAAAGAGACCATTGACATCATTTATAAAATTTCAAAAGAAATTCATATACCTGAAATCATTGAAAATGAATAAATCTCAATAAATTATGTCATGACAGGAAAAAAATAGAACTAAAATGAAATAAACATCAACGATATTTTTACATATAATGTAGCGCATAATATTATGAAAAAAAAATAAGAATTTTAAACCTACATCTATTAAAGAATGTAAACATAGAAATGATTAGTCAATGTGGAAGATAAAAATCAAGGTGGAATATAAAAATCAAGGTGGAATTTACTTTATTTCCAAAATATGAAATTTTTAGACCTGTGGTCCATGTAACAAATAATGCAATACCAATGGGATATAAATGGTTATTTGTGCAAATATGAGATTGTGAGATATAAAGCATGGCTTGTCGCAGAAAGTTTTACCTAAAGACATGATATTGATTATGAATAGACATATTCTATTATAGTCAATACAATTACATTTCTATATTTAATTAGTCTAGTAATACGTAAGAAGATTGAAATACATCTAATGAATATAGTTACAATCTATTTATATGACTTACTTAATATTGATATCTATATGAAAATTCTTGAAGGATTTTAATCGCCTGAAGCATACAATTTTCAAGAAATTTATTCAATCAAATAAAATAAATATGTATATAAATTAAAGTAATCTAGACGCATGTGGTCTAATTATCTTAATGAATATTTGTTAAAAGATGGCCATACAAATGATCATATATGCCCATGTGTTTTTATAAAAAGATTTGGATATGAAATTGTCATAATTGCTATTTATATTGATAATTTGAGTATTATTAAAACTTTTGAAGAATTATTAAAAGTTGTGGATTACTTAAAAAAGAGTTTGAAATGAAAAATCTTGAAAGAACAAAGTTTTATTCGGGTTTCAGATTGCGCACTTGACAAATAAAATTTTTGTCCATCAATCAAATTATATAACCAAGTGCTAAACAATCTTTAAAACTCTTATACTAAGTCTAAGAATATAAGTTTGGTGGATATTAATATTTAAATTAAAATATAAAAAATAAAAATATATTAATATTTAACTTAAATTTTTATATAAAATATTAATATTTAAATTAGCAACATTATTAAAATTAAAAAATATTTTTTAATGAAATCATTCAATGCGATTAAAACTTTTTATTTGTCAATTGAATAAATCTTACCAATACACATACATATAAGTTTTGCATGTCTTACATAATTAATAAATATTGATATTTTTATAATGTTGTGATAAAAAGGGTGATGACATAGAAAATTTTTAAAAAATTAGAGTTTAATTATAAATATGTGATTAAATGTTTAGGTAAATATCATTATTGATTGTACCCATTTGCATGTCCATTTTTAATTTTGATCTCAAATTAGTAAAAACCAAATGACATCGTTACTTTGTAATAAACTTCTATTTATCATTTTAATACCCAAATTACTCTACTAGTGATGGTGGAAAATATTCTCTACAAGATGATCTAAACGATAAAAAATATTTTCGACAATTTATTCGAACAATAAAAAAGATTAAACTTTTTTGCAAAATATTTTACATTGAAAAAATTTTCCCCAGTGAGTTATTTTTCAATTACTGAACAAAATCAGTTTTTCAAATATTTTTGTGAAGTATTCTAATTTAACATAAATACTAATTTTTATATTTTTCTATTTTTAAGAAATAATATTTTATTTTTATTATTTTTAACATAATATAGAAATTTAAAATTAAAATTAAAGAAAAAAATGTTTAAATAAATACATGTCAACTGATATGTTTCTTCCATGTGGCAGACACATTATAACGAATTGACACTTAACATCAGACCTAACGTAACCAAGAAAAAACAAAAAAGAAAAATAATTTCATTATAAAGTTAGGAATGTAAAGACCAACAAATTAATTTTCAAATTATAAAAATCAAAATGATATTCGTTTCAAATTTTAAAAAATACATGTATAATGTTGTTGAATTAATTTCAAGAAGACCTTTATGCCACAGCTTTTTTTTTTTTTTTCTTTTGCAGCAAGATTCTTTCCTCTTTTTTTTCTCCCTTCATCTTGCCAGAAATATAAAGTTAGGCATCACGATATAAAAATTAAGGAAAGTTAGGCTCCACCATATAAAAAAGAAAGTTACTAGATGGCGTTATGCTAGGTTGTACACTGCACATGTGTATGTGACAAGTATGGGCTGCGCCGATCGGGCCGATATCCTTGGGTGGGTCTTTACCTTTCAAGAGGGGGCTTACACATTCTACACGATCTCGCATTATACAGTGCATTTTTTTTTTAATTTTGTTTTGGTAAATATGAAACAATTCAAAAAAATTTTAAATAACATATGTTTATTAAAGTCTTTTTTTTTCTTGATTTTGGATTCCAAGCTAAACATAGACCTATAAGATGAGATGAAGTGAGTAAATTTTTAATGTATAACTTTATAAAGAGAGAATAGAAAATAATCAAGATAAAAATAGGTTCCGTTTGATAAAATTGAATATATTTTTTAAATATTTTAGTCTTTTCTTCCATTTAAAAGAATGAAAATTTTGACAAATATAAATTATTTTAAGAATCAATAAACATAAATTATTTTTATGTCTTAACATGTAATTTTCTGGTTATTATAGCAAGTACTGGTCTAGATTAAAATGCATAGCTTTCGATAAAATTATTGATTTTTCTTATCAAAAGATAAGAGGAAGCAATTAAAATTTTGACAAATTAGATTAAAGAAAGTGAAACAGAAAGATACGCAGGAAGGCAAAAGTAGTAGATAGTGGGGGGCTGAGTAGGCATGACGCGAATGATCGAATCTGAGATCTCACCTTTTTCTTCTTTCTTTTCCCCTTTTTCTCGATCTGTCCCAGATATAACACATGCGTGTTCGTCCCTTTTGTCGACTACTGCTCCACTCCTAACCCTTATATAAAGGTCTCACGCTGGTTTGCTTTCCTTGCATCCAAATCTCTCTCTCTCTGTGGCATTGTGTTCATGGAGAGGTCCATGCGTTTATTCTCAGCAGCCTTTGTTCTTCTGTTGCTTCTTCTGGCGACAGGTTTTTCTTTTGCCCTTCCCAATTTCTTGTCTTTCCAATTAACTTGACTTGTGCTTTTATGCTATAAATTGCTACGACTCTTTATTTTATTTTATCTAAGTATTAGCATCCGACACATATTTCATGAATGTAAATATAAAACTTCGATTCTTTTAATACTAAAAATATTTTTAAAATGTTAAACTATTGTATTCTACCCTTATCTCAAGTTCAAGTAACATAAACTTTAGTATGAAGCTGACCAGGACGCTATGAAGCCTAGTGCCACGGGTTCATTGATCACATTCCCGAAAACCTATGGCCTCATTTCTATGTGTTTAACATATATAGAGTAACTTGAGGTTTCCATGGCTTGGATCCTCATCTCCGATAACATAATAAGTTAGCAGGCTCTTTCAATAGTTTTCCTATTCTTTTTTGTCTCTTAAGTATATACTTGCATTTTCTTTCCATTTTTGGCCATTTTCGAGCAAAGTAACTCTTCTATATACAAGTGTCATTTTATGTGCGGCATATGAGCTTTCGCAATCTTATTCTTCCCCTGCATTATCCACAGGGGAAATTTTAACTTACTTGTTTTGGGTAATTTATTTACTGATTATTATTTTCTGAACTAGAATAAAATTTTTGCATATTTTGTTACATGTGAATCTGTCAAAGAAGAGATGGGGCCAAAGGCAGCGGAAGCAAGGACATGCCAGTCTCAGAGCCATCGCTTCAAGAGCACGTGCGTGAGGAAGAGTAACTGTGCCGCCGTCTGCCAGACGGAAGGTTTCCACGGTGGACATTGCCGAGGCTTTCGGCGCCGATGCTTCTGCACGAAACACTGTTAGCCATATGAATTAATGAATCTCTTATTTCCATAGCCCCTGAGGTCTCCTTTTGAGAGAATAAGGAATCCCCGGCATTTTGTGTACGAGGAACTGTTTTTTAACTCTATATTCATCTGTCTTTGTCATGTTTTGTGTCGCATGAAATAAATTTTCATTCTTTGAGGCTACATTTTAATTTTTGTCTATTTTTAATTATAATTTTGCTTCTTATCTTTATATAAATAAATAGTAAGTAATAAAAATATCAATTAAATAAAAAACATCTTTTACCTTTTAATACTTAATAGAAAAGCATGGCCGTAAATGGAAACGATGAAAGGATGAAACAAAGAATGATCCGTACCCGAAAGTCGACATGTAAAAATAACAACATAATGAATATAAGACAACCTTTAAAAGAAAAAAATTAATTTGATGTCTTACAATTGTTTTCAAATTCTTTAGCATTTCTCGGTTAATGAAATCAAAATAATAAGGCTGCCTGGCATATTTTAAAATTCTAAGAAGAATTAACCTCGGTGGTTACGTACGTTTCCTGCTATGCTCCTTGATGGAAAATTAAATGTCGTCAAAGGTGCATATATATATCCACAGACACAGTGACTGTTTTTTTTTTTTAAAGTGTAATATTTATTAACTTTAATACTGTAATGTCATTTCAAGTGCTTATAATACTACAAACTCTCATGGCATAATCAGAACCGGTCTGGGCAAAGAGAAGCTGTACAATGGTCCAAAAAAAAACCAGCCATTGAGTAGACAATGGCGTTCACAGCAAAAAATCCTAGAATCTCTTATCAAGAGCCAGCACCCTGTAAACAGAAAGTGAGCGGTTCAGCAGGATCAAACACAGGCTATCCTAAACTACCCCAAAAAGTGGTCAAACATTACATATAAACTTCTCCCAAAACCTAAGCAACAAAATCAATCCTACCCAACCCATCCAATAGCAGCAGAGGCTATACAATCCGCAAAAGTGAGCTCTAAGATCAAAAACTCAAAAAACATTCTCATCGTTAATTTTTTTTGAAAAATGAATTTGTTAACTCAACATAACCTGCATGTCATAACAAGTCTTAAATCTTAGAGATAAAAGGCTTGTAGTAGCATATCAACTCCAACTACAGACGAAGATAACAGTACAATTACAAAAGGATTCCACCACTTCAAACAGATATTGGTGGCTCAACCTCAACAATGAGTTCACTATACAACAAAAACTAAACTTCCTAACTTCATAAAACTTATGAGATTACACAACAACCACAATTCAGATATTCTAAACCCATTCTCATCGTTAACTATTCCTAATTCCTTGAAAAACTCCCAGCCATTCATAGACCGCAGCAACAAAAGCATCCACAATCACGACCCTCTTGTCACCTTTCGACTCAGCTCATTGATGAGACCGTGAACAGTCACACCAAAACCAGCAGCACAGCACATATAGCATGCAGCTTTGTATTGACTTCCCGTAGTGCATCCTTGCTTCCCCCAACCTTTTACTCCAACGTCTTGAATTCATAAGTTCTTTGTCATCCTTGTGGCTTTTTCCATTTCCATCAGCTTGTGAAGATTCACGCCCCAGTCGGAACTTGAAAGATGAAACTTCAACCTGCACTCACCCTGGAAAGCAGAAAATGTTTTGAAATTTCCAAGTCACACTTTCCTTTATTTTCCGCATTCACTCTCATGGAACCAAACTCAGGACCCATGGAGCCCCCTCAAAAATGTTCAAAGGTTTCACTTCCCTCGATGAACCTTTCCCCACCCATAAGTTTCTCCCTGTCCTCTCTGCCGCCCTCCCACCTCTCCCTAAATACCCGGTGAAAGATTGAAATCACAAAAGAATATATCCTTTCTTTTTTCTTTTTCTCGTTCTCCACATTTTTCCCTCTTTTTTCTTCTTTGAAGACTCTGAAAATGTGAAGCATAGCCCTTCTTCCATGAAAAAATTTCATTCCTATAAAATTCACAGTCAAAGTTCATATTAGGTCCCTCTACTAATCATTTAATAAAATTCAAATAAATCTTCAATCAGCTTTTTATATTTTTATTTTAAATTAAATAAATTTTTATAATTAATAATTAACTAATTACATTAGTTAATATTTCATTTCTTATTTTACACTCGTGTTGCACTAATATAGTGCTGATGTAAATAGTAAAAAAATCATATGATCATATCATCATAGTACATTAATATGCTATGCCATTATATATTATGATATGTCAGAATATCACGTCAACTTCATATAATATAAAATAACAAGTGATATTTTGACTAAGTCAACTTTTAGTTATAAAGGTTTATTTAACTCAAAAAAGTAAAAAAAAAACGTTTATTTGATTAGTTGAACGTAATAAAAAAATAAAAAAATTTTAAATTTTTTTAAATAGTTTGAAAGTCTTGTTTAAATCTTTGGATAAAATCGAACTGTTGGGTAATTAAGATGTTGAGTGAAGTTTGGATGGGGTTGAAATTTGGATTTGTTAGCTGCTGGATTATTTGTGTGGAGCAGATTTACTTGATTTGGGAAAGGAAATTATGTGGAAGTGGTGGTGGTGGAGGAGTTGGATTCATCCTTGAAGTAATGAAGCTAAAGTAAAATTATTTTTAATAGATTCTAGATGAGGTTGGCAAGGACCTAAAAGAGATTTTAAGTAAAATTATTCGAGGCGGTAACTATAATTTCCTTGGACAATGTTAGTGCTTGGTTATGAATGTAAGACATATACAAAAATATGTTATATGGTAAAAAAAAAGTTATTATAAGGTATGTTGAAAAAAAAAATTATTATTACATGCTATGTAAAAAAAATGTTATACTCATGTTAAAAAAATATTATTGTTACATGCCATGTTAAAAAAAAATTACTATTGCACATCATGTACAAAAATATATTAGACGGGATGTTAAAAAAAATAATATTGTTACATATCATATTAAAAAAATATTATTGTTACACGTTATGTTTAAAAAATTTTTATTGCGTTTAAAATGTTGTTGCTCCTTACAAACAAAAATTTCAAATTCTCTCAACTCTTTTTATATTTTTTTATTTTTGTTGATAATTTGGCACCGATTAAAGTGTTTATAATATATTTTCATAAATCAAAACATAAATTTTTTTATCTAAAATACCTATTTAAACTAAAATTGAAAAAATTTCCTTTGAAATCTTAGATTTATAAATTTTAAATTCTTGAGTTTATTGATATTTGGTCTCAAATTGATCTAATTAAAAGTTATTTCAACATATGATATTATTTCTACCATTTTAGTTTCATCCAAAATACTTAAAAATGAAATTCTCTAAGTAGCCACTTATATTAAGCACATCAAAACCAGTACTTGATGTCTTGAAAATGTAAAAGAGAGAAATCGAAAACACAACAGACGAATGTCAAATAAAGAAATTGATAAAATTAAAAAGAGCTTATGATGAAAGAGAGAAATTGAAAGTACAGATGAGAAAAATTATAATAAATAATTTAATTTATTTAAAATAATTTTAAAAATATTTTTATCAAATTATAATTAAATATAATTAAAAATAATTAAATTTATTTTAATAATTATTTTTAAAATACTTTTTATTAAAAAATTATTCATCACAATTTTTTTTAAAATAATCATCGTTCATTTGCAGCTCCTATGCGGTTTCGGCTAGACTGGGAGCAATGAGCAAATAATATAAAAGACCCGTTTACACAACAAACGTGGGCTACGATCACCATCAAGATGCAGGGCAACTAAATTATTATAGAATGCTAAGTCTGTCCAGCAGTCTCTCGGAAAAAAGTCATTAGAAATAGCATAAGTTAGGCCATGTGTTTTTTGTTCGAGGCAAAATCGTCTATATATATATACCGAAGGCCAATGCTGTGGATAAAGAAAATGGCAGCCTAACTGTATAAACAATTGTTTTATTTAGTACTATTGCTTAAGGAATCGGAATTTCAAAGTCAAATGTGTTTTACTCGCAACCTGCAAGCAAATTGAGAATGGGTCAAAGGGAGAAAACTGACAATGCCAGCGGCTCCAAAATTGAACAGTGACCCAGACAAACACCGACCATTGTACAATGCCCCTATAAATTGAAGAGGAGCTAGCTACCAAGCTCTCCGTGACTCTCTTTTCTTCTCATTTGCTCAACCTTGTTTGTTAACAAATCATAACATTGTTTACGTCAAAGAACATAAAAGAAAACTGGCCATAGCAGTTACAAAATCTATATCGTCCCCAGCGGGTAGAGCTGCTCTTGTGGTGATGCTGCTGCTTTTCAGCAGGGCATGCCAAGCACAGCTTTCTCTACATTTTATGAAAATACATGCCCCAATGCACTGAGTACTATTCGCACGGCCATCAGAACCGCCATTGCAAGAGAGCGTAGAATGCCATCAGAACCGCCATTGCAAGAGAGCGTAGAATGCCAGCATCCCTAATTCGCCTTCATTTCCATGATAGCTTTGTTCAAGTATTGTTGGAACAATTCGATGTCGGTTTTAATTTCTTCCACCAACATATCTATAAATGCAAGATCGTAATGAATCCTCTGGTGTTTATAGGGATGTGATGCCTCAATCTTACTAGACGATGCCCCCTCAATCACAAGCCAAAAGAATGCACTGCAAAATAAAGACTCTGCAAGAGGTTACGAAGTCATTGAGAAGGCAAAATCTGATGTGGAGAAAATATGTCCTGGAGTTGTATCTTGTGCAGATATCCTCGCAGTTGCAGCCAGGGATGCCTCCGAGTACGTGAGTAGGCTTAACATAAAACCTCCCTTCCAAGAGCCCAGATGTCACACTTGTCATCCTAGATTCCCCTATTGAATATTCACCCTTAATTATAACTCTCACTGTTGAAACAACACCGGTGGGTGGCCCATCTTGGCCAGTGAAGCTCGGGAGAAGAGATTCTACTACTGTTAGCGTAAGTCTTGCTACGAGTCAACTTCCTCGTTTCACGGCCAGCCTTGAAAGCCTCGTCGATCTCTTCGGAAGAAAGGGGCTTAGTCCAAGAGACATGGTTGCTTTGTCAGGTTTGTGAAAAAATTATTTTAATAAAATGCTCTGATCACACTTCATCTTCTTTGTAGCTACAAGAGCTTTAATCCATATACAGGTTCCCATACTCAGGGGCAACTC